CATCTACTTTTTCATCAGCTATTCTCATTAGGTTGCTCAAATGCGTATTTGTTTCGTTTTGATCGTTTCTACCCACATTTGTTTCATTTTCATTTGTCCGTTTCGGAGTAGAAGATATTGCCTTTACAAGGTATTTGTCCATCTTGCATTAATGTACAAAAAATTTGAACGTCTTACGTGAAGAAACCACGTGGTAAACACGTGGTTGCAGTGAAATGCGTTCTGAAAGAGGTTCGGAGGGATGGTGTTCTGTTGTTCTTAAAGGTTCTGAACAATACTGGTAAATAGGGATGGGGCAGATGTTGAAAATAATGAAAGATCCAGGAAGAAAAGTGAAACGGATTTTATTCTAAATGGCGCAATGACAATTTTTTTTTCAAAATGCGAGAAATTCGCGAATTTTGAAATTGGTTTATAGAATGCGCGAATTTCTCGCGGTAATCATTTTTTTATTGCGAGAAAAGAAAAAAATATGCGAGATTCTCGCGTTCTCGCGCTGTAGTGAAAACATTGAATTATTGTTCTATTCGTGGGAAGATTTTCGTATTCCTGCGCTGAAAAAGTTCCCTAATTTTGGTGACATCTTGACAGTTGCCCTCAAAAAATTTAAAATTATAAAAGTAAAATGAGCATTCCAGGTTGAAAGATGGGTGTAGCACATAGCCACCTCAGAACAACTACTACAATCATTATTATTTTTTAAGTATAAAATCCTCTTCATGTACCGATATGGAAATAACTCCCGAATCACTATTAACTAGAAGCAAACGAAATTCCCACCAGCAATAATTTTTAAAATTTCCTACTTAAAAAAAAAAAAAAAAATTAAAACATTTTCTTCCATCTATAAATTATTTCTTAACTTAGTAGTAAATGAATGATGATCGTGAAAATTGTGTTTGTTTGGAATATTAAAAGATTTCTAATAAACACAATGCCCCCTCTGGATGGTGTTTTTAATATTAATGCATATAACAACGATCTCGAGCTCTTGAACTGCTTTACTTTCGGTTAGAAAGTACACAGCTGCTTACTTCAGCTTATTCTGCCAGGCGATATTTTCAAGCAGATAATTTTGTTTTGAATAAAATAAAAAGTCATGTAATTTCTGAGATCAAATCTACTGTATTTCATTAGATATTAAGTAATTCTGGTGAGTTTGAGGTGAAAATTTGTTTTAGTTATTTATAGCTGTATAGTAGTAAAAGGTGACGTGGTTGTTTGATTCAGAAGGAACTCGCTTTTTCGGCAGTTCTAATTTGGTCTCTTTTTACTGTTTCTTCTTGTTGGAAAACCGTGCACCACCATTGAAAAGAATCTAACAATATACTAATACAACCGTGCACTTTAATATTAGCATATTGTTGGAGCAGCGAAATAAATTTCGTTTTAAAAATCATCATTTAGATTTGAATTTTGAAATTAGTATATTGTTGACAATTTAAGAAGTGCTTTATATGATAACGATTCCTACGTCTTGAAATGACAAATCTTCAATTGACGATACTTAAAACAGTTCTTTTTAACACAAATCCGGTAACAAATACAAGCATACAAGAAATACTACTCAAGAAAGTCTCAAAACACAATGATCACGTTGGGAGTCAAATGGCTTCAAAATACACCTGAAACAGTAACCCGGAAATATAGTCGGTAAAGAGTTTGGAGCACACCCTTGTGTAGAAAACATTATCCCTGTTGTTTCCAATCCCAGCTGGGATAGCGGAGCTATACCAGATCCATGAGTCTTCAAAAAAATCGATGAAAATGAGAGATCTCTCAAGAACCTCTTCCATGGGCATCATATCCGGGCAATCAAGTAGATGGTGAGGACACGCCTTGCACACCATCCCTACCAACGTCAACTTTCGACTATTGAGATGCCTAAGCTGACGTCACTTCTTACATGTACACTGATCAATTTGTTACAGATAGCAACAAATAAGAATAAATTATTGGGATGGGATCCAATAGAAAACGCATATGACCATTGATTTATTCCACTCAAATGATGCAATTTAGCCTCTGGCTGACCATATATGAAATATATATTTAAAATATCCTACTATACAATATATCTTACAGATCTATCACCACTGCCAGTGATGAATAAGCGAGGTTGTGATTCAGTGTTCACCTACAAATAAATTTGTACGTGAACACATAATAGATTTTTTAAGAAATCTGAATCACATAACAAATTTTTTTTTAAATTTGTCTTTTTTTGAAAAAGACTTTAAAAGGCAACAATTCTTTTTACTAAACTGTGAACTTCTTTTTACTAAACTGTGTACTATAAATTTATAATAGAGGTATTAAAATTACCTTGTACGAATTTAGATATTTAAAAACTTTTAAAATATCCCCTGAAAAATTACATTTGTAATATTTCGAACCACTCCGAAGTCCGGAACTTTGACCCGTACTTTTTATGCTTATAGTGTTTAAAAAAGTAAGAACGAAATTCTTCCGTTTAGTTGTAAAATGTTGTTTTGCTGTATACAGACATTTTGAGCTGTGTACAGAAAAAAAAAAAAAAAAAACTCAGACGAGTGGCTTTTATTTTGTTATTTCATAAATTCTTTCCTCTTATTGTCAATGTATACAAATTATGGTTGGAGATATTGCTTCTTAGGTTCAAAAGGTATTTGCTCAAAATTGTGATATGATTTCAGATGGCTTTTCTCTATTTTTAAAGCTCATTTTTCTTATGCCCTATCACTATCAAAAGATTTGACACCTCTGAAGTCCTGGCCTGTTATAGCCAGGACTTCCAGCTGCCCTAATAATCTTTCGTATTTTTATCCATATTTTTACATCAGACTTAGTTAACAAATAACACCTTTCGATTAATTTACTTTACAGTCTGAGTGAAAAAATTATACCCACTTAATTTTGCAACATAATCAGCAATTAACCCCTTCAAAAAATAATAAAATAGTGTATAAGGATTTTATTTTTATAACCGTCATTGAACAGCCGACCCAATTTTTTGGGTTCACAACAACTAATGTTAAATTCCGTTGTCGTGTAATTTTGAACCCAATCCACAAAACAAGGGAACTCCTGGATCAAGTTTTGGGAGAAATTTGCCTTCTTGGAGGACTTTTTTGATGGAACTAACCCGTATTTGCATTACACGGAGAGGGAAACCACAAAAACCTCTCATCCGTCTACCACTGAGGATATTTTACGTCAGCACTGTGGTCGCTACAAGCCAGATACGGAATTCGTATCAACCAGCCATCGGATTTCAAACCCGGTTCACCTCATTGGAAAGCGAACACTCTTTCTCCATAGACATCATAGCTCAATTGTATAAAGATTGACTAAAACAAGAGTTATGAGGCAAGAGAAAATAATTTTATTTGTTTGTTTGCTTTTAGAGATATACGCTGTCTTTTTTTTCTGAGCACAAAAAATATAATCTTTTGAGGGATATTATCAGGCTATTTGGTCCCCCCTCAAAAAAGAGAAAAAGCTGGTAGTAAAACAATTTCATAACTAGCTTGTTTTCAGGAAGAATAAAGAACCCTGGCGAACAAGATTTATTAAAAGTTTTTTGCAGAAAATAACTGTTAATAAGTCTTGATAACTAGGGACATTTATTCCTTGGGTCAAAAACTAGATATGAAATGGATTTTACTATCAGTTTTTTCACTTTTCCAGAGTACAAACAATCTTGTTTTTATGCTTAAAAATGTTTTTAATCATATCACTGTAGCAAGAAAACTGCTAAAAAACTTCATACAAAAAAACTTTTTCCCCAATATTATAAGTTTTAGAAGATTTCATGTTTAGGGGTTCCTTCTTGGGGGGGAGGGCAGCCTATATGGGATGAATTGTCTGAATGTATTATTCTCATAATATTCAAGCATGCTAGAATATTAAAAAGAATAAAACTTAAAATTCTTCCTTCTAATATAACTTTATTCATTACATTCATAATAAATTATAAATTTCAAAAGTATAGAAAAACTATTTAAGGACTGCGTTACTCTGGGCGCCCAATAATCTAACCATGGCTTTTTATTTTAAATTGTACTGCTAATATTTATTGCTTTAAGGCAAAATTGTGCCATAGTCATGTGCATATAGCTGCACATGACTATGCACATGACACTTCATAAACAAAATCTAATAAAAATTATCAGATTTTTTCTCTCTCTCAAATTTTTGAAATTTATTTGCAATTTAATTATTTGGAATTAAGACATCAAACTTTTAACAGTAATATTTAAAAACAAAGCGTTTATGAAATTAGATTACATATTTAAGGCTAATTTATTGTAATTGTATTAATTGATCACGATTGCAACTATGATGAGACTATAAACATAATTAGTAATTTGAAATACTGAAATAAAAAAGGAAGTTTTCTTAAAAACAATTTATTCAACAATAAATTATCAAAACATATTTACAAATTAGGTATAAAATTTAATTACGATGCAATTACTAAGTCAGCTAATTTTGGTTTTTTAGCTTTCCTTTTTCCTTTAATTTTCATTATTTTCCTTTTCTTGGATTCTTTTTTACTTTTTTGTTTCTTCATTTTTCTTTGAGCAAATTTTTCAGGGTCCGTAATAGCCTATAATGAAACATTGCATTAAAATTTTTTAAATAACTTGATAATAAAATTATAATATAAACAATAGATTCTGCTTAAACAACTTAATATATTTTAACAATCATAAACAAATAGTGTTTGATATTTAAACCATCAAAGATGTCTTGTACAGATGTGTCCAAAAAGCCTTAAATTTTAGACAGAAAGCCTAACCAAACTGTGTACACGCACCTTGTGCATAATACATATAATTTAAAATAAAGATTGTTTTTGTTTTTAACTTGTAACTTTCTTGATGCTTCATTTCCTGCCCCCCTGATTACGCAGTAGCAGATTTACACAAGTTCTGTCATTAAAAATTCTAAATTAATAAAAAAAAACATAATACCTCTTTAGCTTTATCTTGTTTCCTTTTTGCTTTCTTTTTCAACAAAAATGTTTGCACATCAGCGTAGGCACTTGTAAAGTCATCAATTCCCACAACACGTTGAATTATATTTATGACTTCCTGAGCATTCTTTTTCAATTCCTCATCTGGAAAATAATTATTTCAAGCATTTTTTTTAATAGGTAAAAAGTTAAATACTGAGTATAATGCACTGCAATAATTATGTATGATACACATAACATTATTAAAATTTATTTACCAGCTTGCTTAGAACTATCTGCAATTTCTCTGCACAATGGTAGAAGAATATTGTTTAGGAGAGGAATTATTTTTTCTTTCCCAAGTTCATGAACAACAGCTCCCAAAAACAAGAAAACACATTTTCTCTGAAAAATAAAAGATAACTTTTTTTTAAAAAATTTGATGAACAAGAAAAATTCTTCATACACTAATGACAATATCAGTAGAATATAAATAAAGTTTTTTTTTGTTCATTAATTTTAAATAAGAGCATTTTTTTTTAATAGGAGTATTTATCTAAGCAAATTCCTAATTCATGAAATAAACAATAAATCAAATTAGATATAAATTGAAATCTCAAAAAAATTTGTAAAAATAGCAATGTTTTAAAAGCATAAATAATAATAATGATGTAAAAAATTGCATAATTTGCAATTCAAAGGTTTTCAGACTATTATTAAATAAAATAATAAATATTTACTAAAAGTTATAATTTGCATGAAATTATCTTTGGAAAAAACAATTTTATAATTGTATGCAAAAATGTTTCGATTCACTTTGAAAAGTTCTAGATGTATAGTCATAAACGCATAAAGTAAAACTAACGTTAAGGGGTTGAAAGTTTGAACCGCTATCCTGTCCTAACTATAGGGACCATATTTCTCTGATTATGGCTACCCCCCATATTTTGGGGGTTAGAAATCCAAATTAATGGTAAAAAAAAGTATGTTTATTCAGAAAAAGTGCCTTTTTGTGTCTGATTTCATAATTTAAAATATCATCTGCACTAATAAAGTAACATATTTGAGGTCACCCCATTCAAACTATCAAATTGAGTCTTACAACACGAAGATCTAATCATTAGATTAAAAGCTGTTCACGGTGGTCAATTTATTTATTTATTTTGCACTGCACACTCTTCCCACTTAAGTGTCAAAAATATAAATTCAAAATATAATATTGTTTCAAGCATAAACGTGCAGCCTACCCTTTGAGATGTAGATGGCTGTTCAGCAACTTCTTTCTTTACCTCTCGACACAACTTGCGAATCATCCATCCCAGAGTAACCTGGACACAATCTCCATCCTCCTCCTCATTTGTTGTTTCAGGAAGAATGGATATCACTTTTGCTAAATACACAAGATTACGAATTACCTAGAATAAACAATTATAAAATATTAACTATTTAGGAGTGATATTGAGCTACCAATCATCTTTGGTTTCTGTTAGGTAAACAAAGCACTAAATACACAGATAAGTTTGGTAAAAGACAAACAAAGCTGAAAATCGAAATTCTAAAATGCTTTATGTGCAAAAAATATTTTAAATAACCGAAAAAATTCCTGAAATTTGAGCAAGAAAAAAAGTGTATGTGGGAAGCATATATCCATAGAATATTATCACTGTTTTAATAAAAAAATATTGATGCATGATTTTGTTTAAATTGTCTGAATACAAATCTCAATAAATGATTCGAAAATTATGCGAATAAGGGTCTCGATCTACAGGTTTTAGATCACAGGAATGAATCATAATGAGTAATTTAAAATCACACAAATGTAGACTACGATGTGTAACTTTAAATCTTAGCATTATGATCATGATTACAATATGTTATTTTAAATCATATGGAAGTAATTTTAAATTGTTTGAATGAAACAAATATTTTACTTAGGAATTAACAGAAGAGGAACTTTCTTTGAAAAAGTGGATTTTTTTTAAATTAAATTAAAGGGAAAAATAAAAAACATCATCCCTGTAAATCTTTTTTATTTTTTGGTTTCCATAAGCAAAAAAGTATGCCACAGTTACACTTGTCACCTATTTATTTACACCAATCATAATAGCATGAATGTGAAATAAATGTTATTTTTTTGATTAACAGTCACATTTATCTGCTTCCAACATTTTTTCTTCACATGTGATGATTATGATTGCTTTATGTGGATATGATTGCTTTTTTACAACTAACAAGAAACATAACACATTGTGTTAAGTAAGAAACACAATGAGGAATACAGAACGCACTTAACTATTTATTATTTACAGAAAAAATGTAAAATGTCCACAAGCAAATTAACAAAAAATTTTATCTATTTTGGGATGCTTAACTTTTGAAATTGCAACTTTTTTTAAAACAAAAAATGTGAAACGTTAATAATTCTTGTTTAGTTACAGAAATTTCTTAACTGTAAATTTTATTATTTACACCCATGAAGTTAATGAGGTTTAGGGTGAATTGCAGTTCATAAAATAGCATTATATTAGACTGAAATTGGAACTACTAGAATTGAAAATTAGAAATTATCATAATAGAGAAAAAAGATTTAAAGCTGCTAGATGCTTTTAGTTAAGTTTTCAATGAGGTTCATCGTCACACATTTTACACCAGATTAAAATTATATATATACATTAAAAATTGTTAAATTTTTGCTTCTTTGTGTGGTTATATTCTGAAAATTCCTAAAGCTTGGAACAACAAAGTTTAGGATAACATTTAATTTCTGTTCTTTTGTAACTTTTGGAACTGCATTTTATCAATACACAATAGAAATTAGTGAAGAACACGAGCTGTCATATGGTCGCAAAAGATTTAACTATTAATACATATTAGTTAACAAATATGAACAACTTAAGAGATTATTAACAACATAGATTGTTACAAGTTTATTACTAATTCATTCACAGATAAGATATAACAGTGTTATGAAATTAACTTTTGCTTCTTTAAAACAATACATAAACAGAGTGCCTTAAAACTTTTGTATTTGCTCGAATAATTTACTTATTTATTTTTTAATTTTACATCTTTCCATTCAAATTATTTTATGCTAGATTTCCAAAAATAATTTTCTAAACAGCTAGTGAACATTTTAAGAATATTTTTGGAAGAATGTTTATTTTTACTTACTTGTTCACTTAATTTTTCATTTAAATAGGGACTTTGGAGTTGTGTACAAAAATCGGCTGACAAATCTCTAAGCTGAAAGAAGAAAAAAAATTAGTTAACAAATTTTAAATAAGTACTTTAATATAAATTTACTTTGAGTAAAATTGTGCTTTAAAAAAATATATTCGACAATATTATTTTTTTCTTGATATAGCTAATTTGCTTAAAAGTGCATTACAAGACAATGTGTTTGTTGCCTCAATTTAAGGGTGCTCCCAACTGTTTTACCAATAAGCATAAGCATTTTATGCATAACATAGTCCTTAAATATGTCTTTTAAAGAAACTTATGCTTTGCCAGTCTGCTATCTGCTCATAAGCGTAAGATAGTTAAGAAAAGGGGGGGGGAAGAGAGGGAGAGAGGAAAAATATGCTAATTATATTAGAAAAAAAAATTAAAAATACATTTGAAAAAAAAATTTAAGAAACTATTTTGTGTGCACTAAATTTACTATTTAGAATATTTTTGTTTAAATGTTAAAGAATAGGAAAGAAACATAAAATTCAACACCAGACAATCAAAATTTACAGTTATATTTTTAAACTTTTAACAAGATTTAATTTACAACAAATAAATGAACAGGTAGGAAAAAAAATATAGAGAATCTAAAAATATTAAAATTATTTTGAAATAATAGAATGTTAGTAAAAGTTTTAATAATGTAAGCTTAAGTTACTGTACGAAAATAAAACTAATAATATAAATATGAAAGAATAAGATAGAAAAACTGATCATAGAAAACTCATGTCAATTGGCATCACACAGGGTTGCCACAGAAAAAAATGAACAAAATAGTTGCTTTTAGTAGCCTAAAACATGAAAATAGTAGCCAAAAACTAGGAAAATAGTTGCCTAAATAAGAACAAAAATTCATCAAAAATATGACTAAAATTTTGTTAATGATTTAATTCGTATATACCATGATCCATTCAGTCAAGTTGGTGGCAAATATGATCATTTTTATACAAACGTAAATGTTTATATATATATATGAAAAGTGATTACTCAAATTCGAAATTCACGCATCGTAATATCGTATAAATTATTATTTTTTTTAAATCATGCAGAATTTCGTAGAAATAATCATTAAAAAGGTGATCGAGAAATGAAATAGACTTACAATAGAGTCTGTGCAAAAAGAACAATTTAAAAAGTGAAGACTCAAATTTGCTACATTTTTTATTTTTTAAGAAAAAAAAAAGTTCAGTGTGTTCAGAAACCATCTTGTGGGGTGTAGATTTTAGACCAAATTTAAGCTTCTTAAAAAAAAAAAATCGCTAGGAGTACAGAAAAGTCTCCCAATAGTCTCCTTTTCCTGAAAATAGTTGCTTTTTTAGCCTTTTCAGGCAAAAAAAGTTGCCATAGTCGCCTCATGACAAAATAGTTGCAAATAGTTGCATTTTAGTCACCTAAGGCAACCCTGCATCACATAATAAATTCACAAAAAATAATTAAAAACAATGAGGTAAAAAATATTTCTGAGAATACTGCTCCATAAATTACAGGATATGTAAAATGATAATATGTAAATAAGAATAAGGATATGTAAAATGACTCATAAAAAGAATCATTCAATAACTAATTTTTGGTTTAAGGGATGTTAACTGCATGCATGTTTTTCTATAAAAGAGTTTAATTTTATATGTAACTTGATAAGAATTTCAAAATGTTGATGATAAAAATAAATCGAAAATAAACAAAATAATACAGTATCAGAAAAACATTGATTTAATAATAATTTTCCTTTTAATAAACACACAAAGAACTTCTCTTAAAATATGAAAAACCTTTTGTCTATTGTTTAGGTAGATGAAACTTTCTCCATTCTGGTTGCAAATTGCAGCTTGTACTTCATCCACTGAATAAACGGAGAGAAGGAGCCCAAATAATTGACTTGCAGCAAGACGCACCCACATATGAGGATACAGTATTAATTCTTTCACAGTATCTTAAAAAGAGAAGGGAAAAAAACTAGAGCAATTATCTATAAAAAATACATATATAAAACAAGATAATTACATTGATAAGATACATGCAGAGGTGTCAACTTTCTAAACCAGCCATCTGTAATCAGAAGTATAATAATACATTTAACTTATAATAAATTCAACTAAATGTGTTTTTACTACTTAATTCTATATGAAGATACATAACTAATATTAATAATATTATGCATGCATTTACTATTAAATAGAGAAAGTAAGACTTAAATTACTTTATTTCGAATATTCGCAGCATACAACTAAATTTTATAAGTTTTTGTAGTTAAGAAAAACACAACTTATTTTTAACATATTATGAAAATTCTCAAAAACCATAATCTTGACTATAAAAGCGTAGCAATTACCGATAAATCGTAATAGTTGGCACCTCTTGTAAAGAAAAAGGCTTTCTGAAATAGTGACTAGAAATTAATATGTTTGCATAAGTATTGTATTTTCTGTTCCATTTTTATAAGTAAACTAATTTACTAAAAGACATTCATATAAAATTAAAAAAATCTACAGTTAAAATGAGAACAACAATGATAATAACAAAAAATTAACAAAAAATGTTACAAAATTTTTGACATAATATCTTTGAGTTTATCAAGTAGTATTGTTACAATGATTTTAATTTAAAAACTAACTTACCCCACATTATATTCAAATCATCAGAAAATTCCTCTTTTTTAATTATGGGACAAAAAGTAAGCATTTTAGCTAAAGCATTCAAAATATGGAATAAAAAGTGGTCAGTGCTTCTTTCATCAGCTGGACTCTTAGCCTAAAAAATATTAATTTTCACAATTATTTTTTGAGTAATTTAAAATAATTCTCATATGCCAATATAGGTTCGTCAAAGACTTACTTCTTCATTATTGTAAGTAATGATCAAGTCAACAAGAACAGGCAAAATTTGGTGCAGGTGATTTTCAAATTGTTCTCCTTCCACTTCAGCAAACATGCCACAAAGTTGAGCACCCAAGCGTTTATGAGAAACCTACAGAAATTTTAGCATTTTGAAGTGAGCATGATTTTGAACAAGCCAAATATTTAAATGGGATGAAATACTCATGAAAGATTTTTTTTTAATTATTTATTAATTATCAGTTTTTGGTTTAAAAAAAAACTTATTACAACTTTTTTATTGGAAAATTTAAATTTATTGGAAGTGATTTTAATGCAAAATTTAAAGAAAAAAATTTGATTTAAAACACATTGAATATGCGTGTGCACCAGTAGCAATATGGATATTGTTACAAAAAAAGAATAGTAAAAAAAAAACTAATAGCAATCAGAGTTCGCCAAAACGCATCTAGATGCACATTTCCCGCATCGGATTTGATTTATACTCCCAAATTTTTTTTTTTACTGGAAATGAAAATACCTCATACATTTTTTTTCCTGTTTTTGAATAAAAATAATCACTTAGAAAATCAGTTAATGACAGAGTGATAACAAATCCTTTCATGTATTCTAAATTTAGAAAAATAATTCCTAATGCTCGAACACTGCCAATAGCTTCAGCTGCTTTTGAAAGATATTGAAACTCAAAATAGAAAAAAAATCTGAAAAGTATTGAAGCAATTTTATGATCTTTCTAGATTGTTTTCTGAAGGGTGAAGAACACCTTTTTTCATCCCACCAATGAAAGTGTTAATTATGACGTAAATTTCGAGCATGCTGTTAAATGGAAGGAAAAAAGATACATGAATTTAAATTCAATTTATTTATAACGTACTTAGTTTGTTTTAGAACCTTTCAGAAACTGTTAAGTGAAACAAATTGAAAATAATAAGGAATAATGAGTTTTTGGTTAAAAATTCAAGTCATAATAGTTTTATTAGTATAATTTATAGGTTAGTTATAACATAATTTGTGTTGTATGTAAAATGCCATTATTTTACAAAACTAATTTATGTTTTCAATTTCCATTTCTTCTATTTTAAAATTCACTCAGCAAAAAGTAGAGTAAAACTGCTCTCATAAAATTTTTCTTTGGATAACACTGAGTGCAATATCCTTCCTTTAGAGCAGTAACTTGTTATCCTATTACGGAATTTTTCTTTCTGCAATAGCACCAATAGAATATTTTTCAATAGATGCTCCTATAATCCAAAAACTAAACTAAAGCTAATTCATTAAAATAATAAAATTCGATATAAAAAGCACAAAAAATTCACATGCGTTTATATCCATTTTTCTCTCATAATATTCTTTTACTTTTTTTTCAGTATAACTTAGCAGTTTTTATTATTATAGACTTTAACCATTTCATAGTCCTTCCTGAATTCAGTTCAAGTTGGTACAGGGTTTCTATATTTTACATACAATGGAGTTTCCTTTGTATTATCAGGTTTATTATTTACAAGTAGGCAAATAAATTTAAGTAGTGTAAATGATATGGTTCATGCATAATCTTATATACTATCAGATCGTTAAAACATTATTTTAAAACTTTTTCATCAACAATAATTACCTAAACTCTTATTTATTGGATTGATAACATTTTAATGAGTTTCTAAAAATAATTGTTTTGTGGTTAGTTTTTCTATAAATATAACAAATAGTAATAAGCATTATCATCCAAATGTAGAGCCCTAGGGAAAAATTGTGTTTTGATTTCTCTTTTACGCACTTGATTAACGTGGGAAAAACAAAAAGGAAAGCCATCAGCAAAACGTTCAAACAAAGAAGTGATTAACACTAAGAGAGTTAATAAAATTATAAGCATGCATTTAAAACTATCTACTGACCTTCTTTGCTTGAAGCCAGGTGAAGGTTATTGAAAACAGAGATAAACGGCCATCATGCTGAACCTGAAAATGCAAGTAATACAATATCAGGCAAAAATGTTTTATATACATTATATACAATAACCTATAAAAACTGCCAACAAGTTTTAGGATTAGTAAACTAATGAGCCAGTTTATAATATAATAAAGTTAAAAAAAAAATCAAACAATTCTTTGATTAAAAAATTTGACACAAACATTCAGTATTACTTCATACAAAGATGAAATGAATTTTTTATATAAATCATGTTAAATATTTTTAAGAAATCAAAATACCTACAAATTTAAGTATAAAAAATACAGGATTAAAAAGAAAAACTTTTTTAGAATTAACATTCAAACAAAATGGCTATTTTAGACATCAAACAAAATTAAAGAAGAGGTAAGAAAATATATTAATTTTTTTCATCAACACAGGGTGAATAGTTTTATACAATTAATTTCAAGTAATGTATTTCATTTTATATTTCAAAAATTGCTTGCAGCCAATGTTAGTAAAAATATAAGAGCTGTTAAAAATTTCAACTTAAAAAACATTTGCATAGATATTTTGTTAGTACATACGCCAGAAAATCAAGACTGATAATTACCTTTGTTAAAAGCTTCTTGATACATTGGGCAGCCATTTTTCGACAACTAGGGGACTCATCATTAACAAGCCTAACTGCAAGGGGTATTAGAAAGAGAGCAGAATGCATTTTCAATACTTCCTGAAATTGTTAAAACCAAATTTGAAATTGAGCTATTTTAATTATAATTAATGATCAAGATCACACTATTGTTTAGTTTTATACTGACTTTCATAGTTTTGAAACACGATAAACCATATACCAAGTCTTTAGAAAATTTATCTTTTGGAGCGATTGCAATAAACAGAATTAGGCAATACAAATTATAACATGCCGTCATTAGTTTTTTATTAAGGATATTATTAGGGTGGCGACTCAAATCAGGTTTCAAATTTCCCTGATTTTTCCAGTAACAATCTTAAAATTTCCAGGTCAGCGTATTTTCTTTTCTCATAAAGTGCAGGTGAATACGAGAAAAGTGTCAATATTATAAAGTATTTTATTTAAAATGTTATTTTTTAAATGTATCATCTTGAATAGACGTGAAGAAAATAATATATTTAGCTTGTTACTACTAAAGAAAAAAAAATGTTTTAAAGTGCTAGTTTTGTGGTTTTTGCACAAAATGTACCAAATAGCTAATACAGTGACCCAATTTTTTTTTTTTTAATTGCCTTCTTTTTCCCGCTGGAATGTATGGATCAATGTGTTTACAATTTTCCATCTTGTAAAAGTTAGTTGAAAAATCACTACTAATTTCAATTATGAAAGATATATTAACAACAATGTAAATAAAACTCATATTTAAGCAATATTTCCTAAAATTTACTAATTTTCTAGTAATTCTGCTAAATTCTAGTTTAGCAGGGTAATAATGGAAAGAATTTTAATGCAAACAAAGTATTACTAAGTTGATGATATTTCAACTGTTTGACGATAAATTTCAATTTAAATAAAGTGTACATAACGGATGGTAAAATAATTCAAATTAAGAAAAATTCCAGCCTTTCTTTAAAATTCCCTGATTTTTCCAGGTATTTATCCAAATTTCCCTGACTTTTCCAGGTTTTCCAGGTGGGTGGCCACCCTGATTATATAATAAAAATATGGAATCATTATCAAGATAATAAGATGTTTTTTTCCCTTTTGAAGCATTTAAAAGAAAATGCTGAATCAAAACAAAGAGGAGTAATTTCTTAAGTCATGCAGGGTAAAAGAAACAAAATAGTAATATTACCAGCTATTTTAAACCACCTGTTCAAGGCGACTCATATGCACGCCATAATTCCTGCATTTTTTTAATGTTTTACAAGTAAATTTCCTTTCCTGTACTTCACTTCTTCTTAGACATTTGTGATGTGAGGTTGTCAAATTTTACTTCTTATGTTTTAAATAAAACTATTTTTGTTAAACTGTTTTTTAGTGATTTTTTAAATAACATGTCTCTTTTACTAAACCCAACAAAATACTTAAATAACAGTATGATGTATTAAGAAAGTGGTGCTGCAATTAAACAAACCTGCACAGTATTTTTGATGGTAGCACACTGGATTGCATCTCTAATAAAAGCAAAGTTATTTCAAATGTAGATATTGATACAAGTTGCTATAAGATTTAAATATTTCATTATAATATGTAATTTTAAAATTTTTTTTTATATAGTATTAAACCCAGGGATGAAATTTCAGTATCAATGATACTAATCAAACTAAAATTTTTACACACCATTACTTAACAATTATAAAAAATACAAACAATTTTTAAAATGTTAACAGAAGCATATGAAGAACTTTTTGGTAACAAAAACTATAAAAGAACATAGAAACTTAAAAATTGAACCATATTTATAACAATAATATTAATTCAAAATAAGCTTGTCTTAAAGTGTCAAGCTTTTTATGGTTTCCTAATGGTTTGAAAGATCTGAAGTGGGCGACACAGCATTTTCTTTTTCTAAATAATTACAAAAATGCAATAGCTTGATATCAGAACCTTCCTACACACTATTTCATGGAGGCAAGATAAAGTGAATATGACTTAAAACTCAATATTTTAAAACATGAAACTTACTTGTCAGTCTTAAAATATTGACAAGTGGCAATTCCATACCCTGATTTAATATAATTGTGTTTCAATCAAAATACAATTTAAAGTAACAAAATAAAAGTTGTATTTGCCATCTAATAATAGACTAAGCCCTATATATATATATATTAGGACTGGGCTATAAATCGATATATCGCGACATATCGATTTAACGCCTATATCGGCAAACCGATACAGCAACTTTCATTCCAAGCGATACATCAGAAATGTGATTTAAGCCGTCGAGTGAAGAAGACGATATAACGATATAGCGATACACGCAAGGACTTTCTCTTACGTTCCGATGCCAACTCGCGCTGTGGAAGACGATATTGTTTCGTTATGTTGAGACGGCCTTGACTGATGAGCGGTAGAATCAGAATCACTTTTGAGACCTTATATCGTTATATCACATGTTCGTTTTCGCATTTTTGG